GTATTCTTACCAGAAGGAAAGAGTTTCTTGTCTAGGGGGTGAGAATGACTGGTGGTCCTAAACACAAGTGGGCATCCCCCTAGCATGCATAGGAGCTGAGCTAGACGTTGCCTGCTGTGGCTGTGAGCTCACACAGCCGGGGCTGCTGTTGCTGAGAGAAGAGCCAGGGTGTCAGGAAGTGGCTTAGGGCTGATTCTGCCCCAAGGCCTTGGCCATTTCCACTGTTGGTGACTGATGGTGGAAGTGAGATAACTCCCAGCTCTGTCGCAGGTGTGCATGGGAGGAGAGGGCCCGGATCTGGACATCTTAACAGGAGACCTGAGTGTTGAGGCACTGTTCTGAAGCATGAGGGGAGGTGATTTTTATGAAGCCATGCAGTGGTATATAAATCTGATCGTTTTTCTGTAACTCAGATGAGTGAATTGGGCTCAGGGTGGCCGTCTCAGGATAGAGGATCCCTGGGCTACCTGAGAAGGGAGGCTTGAACCCTGTAGAACCCCAGTGTGTGCTGAGGGCAGGTGTGAGGCCTCTGGAGCCCAGGGGAAGTGTTGGTGTCATAGAGTTTAAAGTTTCATTTTGTTGTTAGGCTTGAGAAAACTCAGCAGTCAACAAGATAGCTTATTGTCAGGTGAATGGAGTTTGGTCCTGCTCGTCTTCTAATAATTTGGAGGTTGGAGAAACAATATGCACTTCCTGGGGGCTGGCACCCTCCTGCTGGATCTGTTGGGACTGAAGGCTTGTCCCGTACAGCTAGAACTTGACCCTCCTTAGAAGCGAGTGCTGGAAACCAGGAGGGGCTAAGGAATTGCATTTAGTATTGAGCAGGCAGCAGCCCTGCCCTGGTGTGAACAAGGAGGGTAAACCGTGGAGGGAGCTTTCACATTTTCTCTGTTCTGCATTTGACTCTTTTCAGTGCTAATACAGTCATGTGTTACTTTTCGAAAAGAGCAGAGAATTCTTTACAGAATTCTTAGTTATCTTCAAAAGGTAAAAGATGGGGTGAGTGCTATT